AATTCAAAACCAATTTATTCGGATAAAACACGTTATGATATGAGAATTAAACTTTAACTTTTTTGGAGATTAAATTCCCCAATTTCGTAAGGGTTACCAAATCAAAAGTAGTTTTTTTTTTGGTAAACAAAATCTAAATTAGTTGGGAAGCTCTAAATGTAAAAGAAACCGTTTTGAGAAAAATGTCAAAAAAATCATGAACTTTCAAATTATGGACTAAAAAACCATGAATTTTAATGTCATTTAAATCTCAAAGTTTTGGTTGACTTCTTAAGAAATGGTTAACTTTCGTTGACTTGGTCATTTTAGGCATGCCGTTAGATTTCCGTCAGCAGTAACCGTTTAGGAAAAACGGCGACGTATTGAAAATAGAAAAAAATGTCGAAAAAAGCATGAACTTTCAAATTGTGGTAAAAAAAAACCTGAACTTTCAAATTATAGACGAAAAAGTCTCAACTTTCAAAATGCCAATCATGATAGGGGGATTCAATACCAAATGGTTGGCATAGGTGATGGAGATTCTTTTATCAATATTTTGTAACACGTTTTGTGGTATTGAATCTGTGTATCCCCCTATCATTGTCATATCTATATCACCAGAGAAACCTTGATTGCGTTAGAACGTTGTCAGCACATCGTAAAATTTTGTCTTGTCCATGCCAGTGGGAATCTCGAAGTTCTCGTAGTCATGCCAAATTTTTAGCTTTCTAAGTTTTTTCCAGTCTGCAAAGAATATGCAGAATAATTAAATAGGTTTCATGACAAAGTTTCAAAGCATGATGAGAGCAAAGAAGAATATACAAAATCGAAACATGCATAAATCAGCTCAACACCAAGTCAATATTAATATTAATTTGAAAGTTGAGGTTTTTTCTTCCATAATTTGAACTAGATTTGAACCCGCGGTACACCGCGGGGCTATATTTTAAAAAAATATTTAATGTTAATTATTTTGTTTGTTATTTGAGAAAATTATATTTATTTATAAAATTTAAATGTATCATCTATATCTATATCTAAATTTTGTTTTAGTTTTACGGTTAAAAAATATAGAGACAGTAACATACAATATCCTAAGTACCGATTTAGTTTTGAGAGCAACATTTTTTGTTTTGTATTTTCTTTTAAATTTAGATTTCAAAGATGCATTTTATAAAAATTTGTAAAATAAGTTAAATATTATTATGCCATTTTTATAAAAAAATCGGTACTTATTGCATGCAATATTATTTCTATTATTATAAAAAAATCGACCTGCGGTGTACCGCGGGGTAAAATCGACCTGCGGTGTAACGCTTGGACGACGGTGTAATCGAGTCCATAGTTTCCTGGCTATTCTCCAACATGAGTGGTGCCTGCAAGAAGAAAGTTAAATAGCTGCTGGATTAAATCTATCTAATATCATAGAACAGAGATTTGAGTTTATAGATTACCTCATCACCGGAGACCATTGATGCTGCATTCACCATATCACCAGAAAATTCAAGAAGTTGTTCTTCGAGAAGACCACCGTTCGATAGGACCTTGAAAACCTTAAAGATTTCCTTACCAGCCCAAATGTGTTCTTGCTCAACACATACCAGAAATAGAAAAGTCTTTCCAATAAGATTTTTAACAGGATCTGGTAAATTTTCTGGGTCCACGATCTACAATATAGAAGATTTGTCATTTAGTCAAATGACAATGTGTATTACTCAACATATAACGATTAAACTGTTTAGATATGAGACAAACTTACCTCATCAACACTGCCATCGAGCACAGATGTAGCAGTTTCACCAATGAGTTCTGAACATATGGAATCAAACATCAGCAACTTTGTCTCTCCAGTGTTGTCCATGACATGAGTGTAAAGCATGAACCTGAAACATATATAGAAACTGACAGATTAAAATTGTTCTAAAAGAATCTGACTAATTGCGTCTTATAAAGTGTCAGTTCTTGATGAAAAAAAAAAAAAAGTCTCTGTTCTTTATCATTACCTTGAAACAACATTTGTGACAACAGTTTTGCAAATATCACACCAAAATCTTGGTTTTTTGCCTTTGTTATTCACACCATTCACTCCAGCATGGATATGATTAACCTTCCTATTGCACTTGCGACAACTAATGTAATACCAAGCCCAGTCCGTATCTATGGCATAGAGCGTACACAGAAGCCTAACCTTTCCAATCTAGGAAAACATATGGAATACATTAGCATACATGTTAACATAGAGTTCGTAAGAAAAATATACCTCTGTAGAATTCTTCAGCTGAGAGATTGTTTTCCTTGGAAACTCAAGATAATCCTCATCCTTAACAGTTATCATCTCCCGTCTTGGTTGTCTCTCACGGAAACTTAGTCTTAGACCATCATCTGGCAATCTATAAACGCAAAGATTGATTTAGTTAGTAGTAAATCAGAATTAAGTTAACAAAATTAAAAGAATACAAATAGAGTAGTTAACCATACCTTTGGGTGAAAACAGCAACTTCATTCCATGGTGGGTTCACGTGAACTTGAGTCACATCAAAAGAGTTAGATAAACCCATAACACCTAAAAGATACAAAATTATGCAAAGGTTCAATAAGTATTTTCCTTTTAATCAAGTATAAGAAAATTATACTAAAGTATGTACCCTTGAAGGGTTTGATCTTCACAAATCTTAGGATGCAGACCACAATCCTTCCATCAGAATTTTGACAGGCATTAAAAACCTGTTCAGCAAATTTGCCCCAGAGGGTACATGCTATCCTTTCATCACTAAGAGAAAAGAAGAGTATATGTATCAGTCAAAATAGTGTAGAGAAACTTATTGGTTCAATACGAAAATGCATGAAAATATTTAAAACACTTACGTTTCATCGCGAATCTCAAACTCAATTTTGGTAGTTGGTTTGTTTTTTGCTTCGAGATTTTCCAACTCTCCAATAGTAACAATCTGTCCTATGGCATCTGCAAATTCAAGATTCATTTTTTAAACATAATTAAGGATTCAACGATACAATACTTCATTGCTAGTTCACGATTTAAAAATACACAAGAGTTGTTACTTACCGACCAACATATATGGATTGAGCTCACCACTTTGTATCTTACTAAACTTTGCGAGTGTCAGAAAGTTAGAATCTGACTTTGGTTCACATGGAATGATGTTCGTCCCTGTTTGGAATGTCATCTTGTAGAGGTGTTGAGTAGGTCTGTATTGTCCAGTTGCATAGTTGAGGCCAAAAGTCTCAATGAAGACCCACTTACCAACTTGAAGCTCATTAACATACTTGCTCACCAAGTCCTTCCTAACAGAGCAATGAATTTTTTTTCCCTGTATTGAATAGGAATGAAGTTTTGTTTTAGTATATGTACGTAGAAGGATAAAGTAATTATGTGAAAATACATAGTTGTAATATGTTTACCAGTTCGTCAGAGAATACAATCTCTAATGTTTCACCGGTGGATTCTAGGTATTGACGCCAAGCGTGCAAAACCTTTACTTGAACCCTCCATGATGCCTTGTATGGGCGGACGTCTTTGAGGAAACCGAAGGTAGTAGCCATTTGGAAGAGAAGGAAGGTATGCTAAGTATTGTTATATGATTGTAAGCTCTCGGTTTTGGTGATGGAAAATGAGGTGTAGGTGTAAAGTATTTATAGGAAAGTAAATTAGGTTTCGTGTATTCATAGGTTACTCTCCAAAAATAAAAACGATGCATATTTTGTGGGATACAATCTTTGATATTATTGTTTTTTTGGAATATGTTAGGATGAATCTTTTAACTGATCAAAATATGGTTTATATATTTCGTTAATTTAGATAGATATTTTAGGAAAAAATTACTTGAAGTTCAAGTAATGGAGTGTTTAAATAGAAAGAGATCTCGGCAATCTTGGAATATCGACAATATCGGCATTAATTTTCGAAACACAATAATATTCTTAGTTAAGTTTCAGAGATTTTAGGAAGATTGAATCGGAAATGTTGCTTAAGTATAGTAAGTTATTGTTTAGGTAAATATTGGTGAGATTGGGAAGTTTAGATTTTAACCATAATTAAGATTATTTAAACATTAGTGGTTTTGCGAAAGGCCTAACAAAATTAACTTGTTTTACGATGGGCCAAATATTGGGCCTTGTCCTTTCTTTCACTTAATTATCGAGACAGTATCCGATTTCTGAAACCGGGTCACTCGTTATTAAAAAAAACCCACCCAACCAATGGCATTCTTTGTAAATACATCCCAACTCCAGGATTTATTTGCTAAAAGTCATCCAAAAATGTATATATAGATGTTCAGGCTTTTTTTTACCATAATTTGAAAGTATGCTTTTTAGACATTTTTTCCTATTTTCAATACGTTGCTGTTTTGGGAGAAATATCCCATTTTCACATCATAGGAGATAAGAAGATCCAAATCTTTATCAAGAAGGTAATGTATCTCTAAGAGCCTTTCAAGGGGCCAATATGTTATTGGATAAACAAAAAATAGTTATTTCTTTGAAACCTTTTTTTGTTTTGGCATAGAATCACTACCTTACGAAAAGTTAATCGTTTGGGGTTTTTTATTATTTGATTGTTAACAATTTATAAATCATATATTTGGTTGGTAGATCCAATTAGTCTGTCTACGCAATCAAGAGGTAAGGTCAATCACATTTACATAAAATTACCCTTTTTAAAATAATATATGAAGAAATGGTACCGTCCAAAAAGTTAAAATTTTACAAATTCCACGATATATATATAAAGATGTTTAAATTGGGCTGGCTAAGATTAGTATGGTACACATTAACAATAGTTGATGTTTATGATGTATCGCACTATAGCGTTGGTGTAGTATATGCTCTCCAGGCTGTTTCTTTTTCTCACATTACCCACACTAAATACTCACCAACAATAAACTTAAAGAAAAGTAAAGTAAACTTAAAGACTGAAATTAACAATAATCAATCATTAAGGAATCAAAACTCCATTATATATGCTCTATAAATACTCACCAACCAATCGCCGTCTGAATATCTCAAACTCAAATCAAACCCTTAAACCCACCTAAAACCTTCAAGAAGATATACTTCCCAAAAGTCACTTAAAATGGTTTCTCATACACTTTTGGTTATGTCAATATCCCTCTTTCTTTGTTTAAACATATTGCTTGTTGTACACGCTAAAGATTTCAACCAAGACATTGACATAACCTGGGGTGATGGTAGAGGAAATATTTTGAACAATGGTACTCTTCTAAATCTCGGTCTTGATCAATCTTCGGGATCAGGGTTTCAATCGAAAGCCGAGTATTTGTACGGAAAAGTCGATATGCAGATCAAACTTGTCCCGGGAAATTCAGCCGGGACCGTGACCACCTTCTACGTAAGCTTTTCTTAATTAGCTAGACATGCATACACATATATATCTATATATTACCTTATGTTATATTGAATGATAGATTTTGGGTTTTTTTTTGGTGTATAGTTGAAGTCTCAAGGATTAACATGGGACGAGATAGATTTCGAGTTTTTGGGGAATGTTAGTGGAGATCCATACATTGTTCACACTAATGTTTACACTCTAGGCAAAGGTGATAGAGAGCAACAATTCTACCTTTGGTTCGATCCAACAGCCGAGTTCCACAACTACTCCATTCTATGGAATCCGAGTCACATAGTGTAAGCATATAAACCACAATCCAAATGATAGTTCATAGTGTAAGCATATAAATCACTAGATCCATGACTTTGATATTGAAAATAATAGTAAGATGAATATATGTATTGAAATATATATACTTCTTTTGCTATCTTTATATATTTTCTAAACTCAATTTTAATTATATTATGAACGATAGTAAGAAAATATAGAGAGAGGAGACAAAAACTAATCACAACATGATAATATCTCATTAAACAACTTCTTGGTTCATATATTTAATTTCTTAATAGGTTCTATATTGATGGGAAGCCAATTAGAGAATTCAAGAATTTGGAAGCATTGGGTGTGGCTTATCCAAAGAACCAACCCATGAGAATGTATGGTAGTCTATGGAACGCAGACGATTGGGCCACGAGGGGAGGTTTGGTTAAGACAAACTGGTCACAGGGACCATTCGTAGCCTCTTTCATGAACTACAACTCCGAGAATGCTTGTGTTTGGTCCATCGTTAATGGAACCACAACTACTTCTCCTTGTAGCCCCGGTGGCTCGTCTTCTTCTTCGAGCAGTAGTAGCGAGTGGTTTTCACAGAGAGGGATGGATTCTTCAAGCAAGAAAGTTCTTAGATGGGTTCAGAGGAAGTTCATGGTTTACAATTATTGTAAGGACAAGAAGCGTTTCTCTAAGGGTTTGCCTGTTGAATGCACTGCTAAGAACAAGAACACAAAGTCTTGAGTCAGTTTTTTTTTGTCTGTTTTTTTCTTACGCATTTAATGAGTTTTAGGGTCTTGGTTTCTGTTAAGATCATTTGTTGTGATTTGTTCATTGTGTGGTTATACGTTTAATGAGAAAAATTTTGTGGTAAAAGAGGTGAAAAATTTGTTGACAAACTTTCTTTCTTCAATCCAAAAAATGAAGAAAATTTACTTATTGTATACAATTTTTATTTTTTTTGTAAAGAAAATGTTCCCTATATTAACAGTCTATGTTTGTATGTATCAAGCCGGTGATACCTAAGGTTAAGAACCATTTTTCAATGTCACTCTGCTTTTATTGGATCGTGATTCGTGACTAATCATCAAATTCTTGAAATCTTCGTGGAATTGTTTTTGACTCGCCATTCTCTCGCTTGTGGTAAGCTACTCCCAAGTTCTTGTCTCCAATGTATGGATTTTCCGTCGAATTATCGTATTTACTTTTTCTATCATTCGCTTTTTAGAATGCTAGTTGCTATCTTTGATGTTCCCAACCATGTGTTGGATGTTTGTTTCAACTTTGTACTTGCTATCATCTAATGAAATAAAGTATGTTTTGTCAAAAAAAAAAAAAACTAAAAACATGTAATCAAATAATTAAAAAAAATTATATTAAATTTGTTTTAAAAAGGGAAAGTAGCCAATAATTTAATGAATGAATAATACATGGTTTTGATAAGAGTTTTAAAACTAATGATTCAATAAGACATTATTTTTTTGAATTTCTTAATCTTTTAAAATTTATGAACCAATAAATATTCCTAAATCTTTTGACATATGTCAAAATCCAATCGACCAATTGACAAACATAAATAGAAATAAAATTTGAAAAATATATTAGATATACAAATGTCTATCAAATTAACACATAAAGGGAATAAAGATTTGTAAAAGTGTTTTGTACGATTGTGAGAATTTCTCATGTATATATGCAATGAAAGAGCTTTTGTGAATATATAATCATAATTATAATTGTTTAGTATTAGAAATTAGATTTTCTTAAATCTATTAAAACCTATGAACCAATAAATTTCTCTAAAGTTTATTGACATATCAAAATCTAGCATATAAACCAATAAACCTCTCTAAAGTTTTTTAGACCCTCAAATAAATAAAATAAAATAAATAGTCGGATTATTTATTGGAGATTTCAAGATGCACAACTCTAGCAATTGCATAGAAATATATTCTGATTTTACCGTTTTTGTGTCGTTTGATTTATATACTTGTGCAGTTCCTCTGACGAATCTTTTTTTATTTTTTCTATCTCTTTGTTTCTTTGTTGTTTATTGTGTTTTCCACCTTTGGCAACTGTTATCTTCGGTTTGTAATGGTATCATCAATAAAAAAGTTGGTATCAAACCATCCGTTCTCCGTTCAATCCCCGTCGTAGACTTCAATTCTCAGGCCTTCAGATACGGCGTCAAATGCGTTTTTTGTCTCTCTGAATTCGTCGACAGAGACAAAATTAGGATTTTGCCGAGCTGTAATCATTGTTTCCACGTCGTTTGCATCGACCGGTGGTTTAAATTGTATTCTACTTGTCCGATCTGCAGTAAGAGAGTAGGAACAAGACATAACTTGGCAGCGACGGCAACGAGGGTTTGGCTCAAAATCACGACGGCGGTTACTCATTACGCTAATCCCGGCAAGTCCTAAAATTAGAAAATCTATTTGCGGCCATAAAAGTTTACTATTACGGTCCATGTGTAATGTGCTTCAGTTCTACTAGGATTTTTGTGAATATATAATTTATGAATTTTTTGTTTGGTAACGATTTATGAATATATGATGATCATTTTATGACTATATGATTTTTAACAATATTTTTTGTATGAAATTTGCATGTAAATGGATTTTTTTTTTTTATCATTTCTTTGGCTTCAAGAAATCTATTGATCGATCAAAGGATTAGTTGGAAAAAATCTAAATATAGTTAGGTCAATACATTTTAAACATCAATAAACGTTTGAACGTCTACTTTGGTACCACCGTTATTTCTGAGTTATTTACAGACACATCGAGTTTAAAACTATACCAATCGTAACAAATAAAAATCAAATATGAAATTGGACAATAACGGATTTCATGATCGGTTAGCAAGTGAGACTACTCTTCGGAAAACATCGTTAATTTCTCTTATGATGTATTTTTCTTAGTGCATGACACATACATTTGCGTATATAATAATTGTGTTGTAAGGTCTAAATTCAGTCAGATTCTTCGGTTATCATTTACACCCCTAGTAATTCGGAAAATGTCTTTGTAATAAATCTTTTAAATCAATGAAAATTTGTTTTTGCCGGAAATTATTTTTTTTTGCATCAGAACGTCAAATTAATGTCAAACGCAGACGCATCTACAAATCCTCTATAAAACGTACCGTTTAGGTGATGGTTGCGGAAGAACAAAACACCATAAACGGCAGCGTTTCATATGAGCACCGCTTCGCACGTTTCTTCCATCTCTCTGATCACGTGATCGTCGTCTTCTTCAGATCTTTATCACTTTCTTCCCGGAGAAAATTTTGCCCTAAATCACTTTCCCGGGAAAATCAAACTCTGGGAAAGAAAAAATGTCACAAGGCGATACAGTACCGCTTCATCCATCGTCTCAATCAGACATTGACGAGATCGAGAATCTGATTAACGAAAGCGTCCAATCAGGTCCCGGAACCGTTCTCGCTGCTCGTCCACCGAGCCCAACCAGACCGTCAATTCCAGTTTCTTCTTCTCCGTTTATGCAATCGAATCTTCCACCGCTTCATCCGTCTTCATCAGCTCAGAAAGTGACACCTGTCCCCGTTCCTCCGCCTCTTCCGGCGGTAAGTAATTCCAGCAATTTCCAAGGAGTTTCACAAACGATTGGAGCGAGTGCGTTTGGATCTCCGCCTAATACGTTGACGGAGCCTGTGTGGGATACTGTGAAACGAGATCTGTCTAGGATCGTGAGTAATTTGAAGCTTGTGGTGTTTCCTAATCCGTATAGGGAAGATCCTGGGAAGGCTCTTAGAGATTGGGATCTTTGGGGTCCGTTTTTCTTCATTGTCTTCTTGGGATTGACTCTTTCATGGTCAGCTTCCGTTAAGAAGGTTAGCTCTCAGATCATTAGAATCTCTTATGGACTCAGAACTCAGCTTTGAGCTTGTGTGATTAAAATGTGATCTGGAACTTTAGCTTTTGAGTATCTGATAGAGTTATTTGGAATGTCTCTGTTACACAAAATGAGAAGTTTCAAAATGGGATTAAGATAGTATTTGACTTCACTGCATTAAGATTGTTCCTTTGATTGTGATTTGTTAGATTATAGATGTGACACGATGACAAAAAACGAGGACTGATGGTTTCTCTATGATTGCTGTTCTTGTGGTATTGCTTCTCACTTGATTCTCAGGCTATAGGTTGTACAAAGTTTCTTCCTTGTACAGTGGATCATGTAGGATTTTGACTCACAAACTAGAGCTTTGGATGCACTATTTTGAGTTATCATGTAGAAAAATCAGGACTGGTCTTGTGGCATTGCTTCTCACTTGATTCTTAAGCTATAGTTTGTACAAAGTTTCTTCCTTGTACAGTGGATCATGTAGGATTTTGACTCACAAACTAGAGCTCTGGATGCACTATTTTGAGTTATCATGTAGAAAAATCGGGACTGTTCTTGTGGCATTGCTTCTCACTTGATTCTTAAGCTATAGTTTGTATAAAGTTTCTTCCTTGTACTGTGAATACATGCAGGATTTTGACTCACATACTAGCGCTTTGGATGCAATATTTTGAGTTATTAGCATCTAGGACTTATGGAGGATTTAATTTAAATCTGATGTAATCACAGCTGTTACCGATATTGAGTAGCTCGATGTGGCCAATTCATCATAGACTTCTCTGTAGGAATGGTTTGTTATTGGAATTTCAGAAGATTCTGAAAATTTCAAAATTTTTATCATTACGGCCAGTGATGGCTTTTATTTTTATGTTGTTTGGATGCACTTTTGGTGATGATATATCTGAAAAAGAAATGTTTTTATTCTGTCTTCGTGCAGTGTTTTGACTCTTCTGACATTGTCCAAATGTTGTTATTACACAGTTTTTTTTTATTGTTTACCAAATGTGTGTTTATTCTCATTTACATGTGAATACTCGTTTTACTAGACTTGAAAGCCTGAGCCATTGTAGGTTTCATCTTGTCTCCTTGAAGTCACAAAGCACTTCATAATTGAATTAGTGCTATTGTTTATCTATCGGAATTCCTCTCTGTCTCATACCTTTTCCCTGTGATTCCAGTCCGAGGTATTTGCAGTGGCATTTGCACTATTAGCAGCCGGGGCGGTGATCCTTACACTAAACGTGCTTCTCCTGGTAAACCACCACTGCTCTTTCCCTTGTATCTCGTGCAGATGTCTTCGTTTGATTTCATACTTACCACAAAAGGTCGTATCATGAACAGGGTGGACATATAATCTTCTTCCAAAGCTTGAGCCTTCTAGGTTACTGTTTATTTCCACTAGACGTTGGAGCTGTGATCTGCATGTTGAAAGACAATGTGATACTAAAATTGGTAGTTGTGTCTGTAACACTTGCATGGAGCTCATGGGCTGCTTACCCTTTCATGAGCTCAGCGGTTAACCCAAGAAGAAAAGCACTCGCTCTATACCCCGTCTTCCTCATGTATGTATCAGTCGGTTTCCTCATCATCGCCATCAATTAAATCCGATTTTGAGAAAAAGGAAATCATCACGGGTATTTCTGGAATCAGCTTGGATAGAAAGTTCTCATATATATACCAACCATTCTAAGTTCTGATGATCATGTATAAACATGTTCTTTTACACTTTTTTGGTTTTGGTTCAAAGAAGATTCTCATTTGTATGTGCCTCGCTCTATCTGTATTAAACTTACATTTATATTTTTTGACATGTCAATGATGTCATACAAAGTTGTTAGCTACCATTTCCCACTCCTTCTGTGAGGCAAAACCTCACCACACTACACTTCGACACGGACCGGGCGCTTATATGTAAATAAGGGAGGGGTCTCGACCACATTTTAGAATTCTTTCTCCTACACACTTTTGCCCTCTATCCAGGTATGGAAGTATTCAATGAATACACTCTGTACCATGCATGGGTGGATGAAGCTTTATCTGGTCCAATTTTTACCGGTAGAGAACAGAGATGATTTGTAAACCAAATAAACCGAATTTATTTTGAACCAAACCGAATCTATGTTTTGAACCAAAAATCAAACCGGGAAAACCTGTATTGACGAGCCCTCTTCTTCTTCTTCAGTTACACGATTCGGAGAAGCTGCCTCACTTACTTGTTTGATACTGCCAAGTTTTTTCGCTTTCTCAACTCTTCCTTCCATGGTTTTCTTCAAATTCCTTTCCTTGAAACCCTAATTATCCTTATTGCTTCTATAATAGACTTGGTTTAGTGAAACCTCTCTGCTACATTAAGACAGTGTCTTTTGTCGTAGCGATTTAATAATCTTGTTGCGGGTTATTGCAAGGTTGGTGCTTTGAATATCATCATGTCAGAGACTGCTGATTTATGTCTAGAGCTCCCCAAAGATGATCCCTTTTATCACCATAAAAAGGTCTAGTTTGCTAATTTGTCTGTTCTTCTGTGACCTCAATACTCAACTCCATAAGCTTTTGCCATGATAGTCTAAAGATTAGATCTTTCATGTGGCAAAAAATTAAACATTTTCTCATGTTTCATGTATTGTTTGATGTTTATGTAAATAGAGTTGAATTTTCTTATGATTTTTGTCTGTAGAAGTTCTTGAGTTGCAAAGGTGTAGGCGTAAAGGAAACATTGAACATCAGTGGATCATTATCTCAACAGCTTTTGAATGCTGCATTGGAAAAGTTGCTTCAGTTTGGACGAATTGTTAACCTCGATAAGGTAAGCAAACATCGTAGGGCATTGTAGACGCGTTCTTACCTTTCTAATGCTTGTGAAGTTGCTTAGATGATGGATTGAGTGAAATGCAGGTGGAAGTTTACTTTGGTGAGGATGCTTGTACTCCAGAAGGAATTTACAGCGTTAGAAATGAAATCTCAGCTCTCAGCTGGATCCTTTCGCTCATACCCGTTTCTTGTGAAATGCAAACACAAGTCGATACCTTGGAAGCTCTACGAGCTGCTGTAAAAAGTAGAATCAGTGAGGTTGTTGGAGCAGAGAAGGAGAAAGCTAGAGTTGTTGATAGCTATAGATGTGAAAAGGAAAGCAGATTAGTAGAATGGGGTCAGGACAATGGAGTCAAAACCAAATTGCAGATAGCTCGTAAGCTTAGCGGTTTTTCTGTGATTAAGTTAGAAATTTCAACAATGATGAACAGATATTTAAGTTTGTTACAATGTGTTTTATTTGGATAGAAATTGATGGCTATGGACGAGGAGCTATAGCTAGCGAAGACTTGAAATTTGGTGATGTTGCTTTAGAGATTCCTATCTCAAGTATCATTTCTGAGGAGTATGTGTACAACTCCGACATGGTATATCATTTTTTTCATCCTGATTTAAAGATTGCGTCAGTTTCATCATATCAATGTTTTATGATGAGTGTTCTCTTGTCTTCAGTACCCAATATTGGAGAAGATTGATGGGATTACATCTGAAACAATGGTGCTATTATGGACCATGAGGGAGAAGCATAACCTGGACTCGAAATTCAAACCATACTTTGACACTCTGCAGGAGAATTTTTGTACTGGTAAAACTGTTTGGATAACTAAATCCGCAATTCCTGTAGCAGTATTTGTTTAAAAGAGATAACAAACATTGATTCTCATTGCAGGTTTGAGTTTCGGGGTTAATGCAATCATGGAGCTTGATGGTACATTGCTTTTAGATGAAATAATGCAAGCTAAAGAGGTGTGACTAGATCTCGTCTCTTATCTTTCGGTTCTGTGATCTGTATTATGTTCTTGATTCCATTGACCATTGTTTGTATATCTGCAGCTTTTGCGTGACAGGTATGATGAATTGATTCCTCTTTTATCGAACCCTGTATTTCCACCGGAGCTCTATACATGGGAAAATTACTTATGGGCTTGTGAGTTGTATTACTCCAACAGCATGCAAATCAAATTTCCTGATGGAAAGCTGAAGACTTGCTTGATTCCTGTGGCCGGTTTTCTTAACCATTCGGTATGTTTATTCTCTCTTTCTGGTATACTAAGAAACTCCTATCACTTTCCGGGTTGATAATTTGTCGGGTTTGCAGATATACCCACACATAGTGAAATATGGAAAAGTATGCGTTGAGACGAGTTCCTTGAAGTTCCCAGTCTCAAGGCCTTGCAACAAAGGGGAACAATGTTTTCTTAGCTACGGAAACTACTCTAGTTCGCATCTGTTAACATTTTACGGATTTCTACCAAAAGGCGATAATCCGTATGATGTCATTCCCTTAGGTAGCTTACCCTACCTCATTCTGAGATCACTCAACCTTGTTAGATGTTTTTTTGCCTAAGCTTGTATCTCTTCCTTGCAGATTTTGATGTCATTGATGATGAAGACATCGAGACTGAGTTTTCTTGGACAACTCACATGTTACGTGGGACTTGGCTATCGAGCAATCACAACATCTTCCACTACGGCTTGCCTACTCCAATGTTGAACTACTTGCGCAAAGCTCAGGGTCTTGATCATCATTCTGAAACAGATGTATATAATCTTCAATCACCTTCGTATAATTACATCTCTATCTCTCTGAATTTAACACTTGAGATATTTATCTCTTTTCTTGATTCTTTTAAGTTATGGGAAAACTTGGAAGTTGAGATGGGAGTACTCGAGAATATCCAATCCACATTCGACGACATGATGCAAAATCTTGGCGATGCGGATTCTATCGACAGGTAAAAGTAGTTGTATTTATGATATAGAAAGCTGAAACAGAGTGACCAATTACTTAGTAATCCGTTTGGTTTAACAGAGAAAACGCGGATTGGGATGTTAAACTAGCGATGGAGTTCAAAGAGCGGCAGAGAAAGATTGTCTCTTCCATTCTTGATTCATGTTCTGCAGGTATCAAACTAGTTCAAGAATTCATAATTAACCCACCGGTTTAGCCAAGCTAGAATGAGATGATAACCTGATCTTGGATTCAGTTTTAAAGAAATGTATCTTCTTGACAAAGTTAAATTGTGTGAGTTAAAGACTTTAGTTACATAATTTCGAATTGGTTCAATGAAATGAAACCAAGTTTGACAAGTTTTATTCTTTCTGATTCATCATCGTCGTCTATATAATAATAGACATTGTCCCGTTCGTGCCATAACTCAAAATATTAGATGATCACAACGGACATTCCTCTGCTTTTTGCTTAACGAGTTGCTTCATAACATATCACAAAACGAGTGAGAAATCCCAAGTATAAGAATGTAGCATATTACTCCTATATTTTTTGGGTAGCATATACAGTATAAATTTATACATCATCACTTTATAGATTTTCATAGCTTTTTTTTTTTGCAAATGCATCACGCATGGTACCCCCTAATAGTGTCTCCATTCATTTGACATTAATACTTTCTTTTTCTTTGGTGAGTATTTCTCATTACTTTATGAATGCCAAATGAGTCATCAAATTCATTAACATTTGACTAGTACTATATTTTATCATTTTTTTGTGGGCATAGAGAATTATCAGTATTTTGAGCATATTATAAAGTAAACTAAAATTGGAAACCTAACAAAAATATTTTCGAAAATTTGATGTGGCTGCTGGTGGCAGCAAATTGGCGGACCCCATCTTCCAGGTTACATTCTTGTCGTTTTCTAGCTTCCTAACACAGAGCTACAATCTCCTGCACCAAAGAGCATAGTAATACCTACACCTCCGAGTAATAATCAGCCACGTTTCCTTTATAGAGACACAAGTTGGTGTGACACTGACAATAAAATAAATAAGATTGATAGAAAGTGGGAACCAAAAAAAAAAAAAAAAGCTGAAACAAGAATTCTAGAAAAATTTCGATTCTATTACTCGTAAAAGCTTCTTTTGATTCTCTTTGACTCTGTTTTGTGGGTAGCTTTTGAAGAAGAAGAAGATGATGGTAGTGAATAGCTTTGATCTATGGCAAAAAGATGTTTTCTTCTCTGCAGCTGAAGAGGTTCAAAAATCTGCAGATATGTATGTTTTCTTGTAGCTTTTGATCTTAAGTAGCTTTTGATGTTGCATAAATGAAGAGATTGAGATGTTTTTGTTGGATTATTAGAATGGAGTCTGCTTATAGATTGTGGATTAGAGAGAAGAAAGATGAGATCTGTAAAGAACTTCAAGCAGCTTTAGGTACAGCTAAATGGCAGGTACTATAATGTTTCTTGAATCATCTCAGGTTTAGTGTGTTCTTGTTCTTGTTCTTGTTCTTGTTCTTGTTCTTGTTCTTGTTCTTGTTCTTGTTTTATGTTATATATTTCTTTATGTTAATTTGAGTTCTGAAGCTGTGTGAATCAGTTGGAGGAGTTTGTGAAGGCTGTAAGATTGAGTCATAAACGGTGTGGGGACGATGATTCTTCATCGACACGGCATAGACAGTTTGTTGCAGCTATTGAAAACCAGATTCATCGCGTAGAAACTTCTCTGCAAGAGGCTTATAGTGAGAATGGAAAAGAGCCTCTTCGTTGGGTTGATCTTAATGAAGAAGAGCGTGATGACTTAGCAATATTTCTCTCTGGATCTTCTCGAATTTCAGAGAGTTTTAGTGGTGAGAGCAGCATTGAGTCGAGAGAGTCTACTACTAATAGTTCCCTAGTTGAAAATCTTCCAGGGAAGAACAGAGTGGAAGTAAACTGTAGAAAAGAGACATTCAAGAAAGCGAAAGGTTGCGGTAATGGCTCTGAATGTGTTATAGATATTGAAGAAAGAGTGACACCGGGGAATGCACGCCAAGTAGAGAAATCAGTTGGGATGAGAAGAATATGGAGTTCACCAAATTTCAATTCTTTGAGGATTATAATTCCTGGTGGTGATAATCAAGAAGAAAAGGAGACATTGGTGGCACAAATCGAAGCGACGCCTAAAGTGAAAGGAACTAAGTCCATATTGTGGATGCAGAGACTTCCTGATCATAATCAGGTGAGTGAGTGTGTTTTCACAATTAGTTGATCTATAAGCTTTACTTATAGTAGGAGGAAGTAACTTACTTGTTTAGTGTTTTTTCAGCTCTTTGACAAGACCGGTTGCTTCCAAAATCCGATACGCTTACCATTTAATCACCCGATCAAGCTCACTGTTTCCGTTGTGCTAATGGTGTTTCTTCTATGTGAGTTATAACTTCACTTGTTTTACATAATGAATCAATACGTTGCTAAATATAGATTCCGGTCTTGAGCGTGTTTATGTTGCTAACGAGCATTGCTTTTTCCCGTGTTTAAACCGGTGCAGTACCCTTTGTAGTGTATTCATCTTAAGAATTCAACCACGGTTCGAAACTGTCAAGAAGCTAAAGAGATCAGCTTTCGTGTCTAATGGTTAGGATTCATAATCCCACAAGAACAAACAGAGATTAAAAAGCTTTCCCTTTCTGAAATGTTATTCACATATATTTACTTTAACTTGTTGCTTTGGTTCTTCAGGGAACATATAGAAACTGGTAAGATTAAGTACAGGGAGTAGAGTTTATACTATACGGCTTTGGTTATCATTGATAAAGATGTAAATGCAAAATTTGTTTCGTAGATGTTTGACAATACATTAATGCTATAAGAAATCAAGATTTATGCTATGCTTTTAAGAAAATTTCTCAATAGATGCTACATTTCAAAAGAGTTTGCTCTCTAAACCAAGAACTTTGAATCTTGGTACTTGGTTATGTCTTAGTCGGATACTATAACAGAGTTTTCTAGCACTTAACTTCATTAAAAGCACAATTTTGAACAAACATTATATTTTAGCACCATATCATTTGTTTAACAAATGATATGAAATTTTTAACAGAGTTTTCTAGCACTTAACTTCATTACTTCTCTTTATTTACCATAAGCACAATTCTCATCTAATTGCCAAACCTTGATCTTCAATTCATACTGAAACTAAACCAAGTTCTTAAACTATTTGTTTAACACAGTTCTGAACAAACATTATATTTTGCCACCATATCATTTTTGCAAGGAAATTTCCTCAATATGATTATCTACCTAAATGATACTATATTTTAACATATATACAGATTAACTAACGTTACGTTTTGATTCTGTAGTTTATGGAGGAATCCTTATTAGTATTCTTCCTAAACTATCTTCTCTGTTTTATTTCATACTCAAAAACCTTTTTTTTGTAAATCTCACTTTCTTCTTTTCTTTCACTGGAGGCTGTGAATATTCTGATTTCTGACTAGGCTCTCTACAATTCTCTCTCATGGCTTCTTCTTTTGACGGTAAGTCTCCTTTTGGGATAGTTTTTAGAATTTTTGTGCTTGCGTTTTAAGATGAAGCCTTAGACTTGTTAGAGTTTTTTTTTTTTTTTTTCAAATTCTTGATGATCGACGTAGTGATGCTTTTACTCATAATTTACTAGTGATTTTTTAATTATCGATCGTGTTCTTTTTAATTACTTTTCAAGATCCATGAGCTCATGCTCATCATTGGTTGATGTCTTGATGAATGCTAATTCTATTGGTGGCTTATTTTACTTCATGCAGGAGGTGCAAGTAACTCAAATTTGAGTGATGATAAAAAGAAAGGAAGGAAAAACTCTAAGCCTCGTCATTTAAGTTCCTATGGGAAGCCTAATAATACTTCACCAGTTCAACCTTCAGGTAAAAACATATTTCACGCAAGTTATTTTCCATTTACACTATTTTTCAGATTCTCACACAATTTTTCATTAGAAACTGAAACCAAGAGCCAAGGCAAAAGAGTTTGCTTCAAAACCGATTCTGATGTAAGACAGATGAAGCAAAACACTTCTTCTTCTAGAGAAAATCAGTTGGTCATAAAAGAAACTGTCATGGAGAATTTGCCCATTGTCACTCCTCAATTTAGGTCAGACCAAATCAATGACGGTCAAGATAAACCTGAGAAGGTGAAGAAGAATCCGGAAATTTATGGTTTAGGGTTTGAGCAATGTGTGAAGATCATAAGACAGCTTGAGTGTTCAGGTAATGTTGAGAGCATTTTTAGACAAAAGTTTTTGACTTGGTTTACCCTAAGAGCGACGGCTCAGGAGATCAATACTGTCAAGACATTCATGCATGCTTTCAAGGATGAATCAAAGGCTCTGGCTGAGCAGCTCGTTGACACATTCTCTGATTGTATATGGAGAAAGGGTTCTGCCATTGGCGATGGCGATGGAGGTGGTAGTAACGGTGTCTCATGTAAGAAGCCGCGACATTGATTTGAGGAGATTATGTAAACATTGTTTGAAGTTTAAGTCTTTTTCTTTCTTTGGGATCACGTAGAAAGAATTCAACTTCCTTTTTTTTTATCTTCATTAGACTTTATAGCATTATTGAAACATTTTCATGGACATCAAAATATGGTGATTGATATGGATTTTCTCTTTTTTTTCTACTGTGTTCTATTCTTTTTCACCCCCGCTTATTGAAGGTTCACAATAACAACTAGCACTAAAAGAAAACAAGTCCTCTCCGAGGGAGGATTTCTTAGCAATCTCTCGCAAATTGCTTGTTACGAGGGAGTTGTGAGGAAAGATAATCCTCACAAATGAGTCCTCTCAAACTAAAAAAACTCACAAATCTCTCGCAAATTTTGCAGAAAAAATTAAAATAGCAAATCCCTCGCGAAATTTGACTAGTAAATCTCCCGCAAATATTGTGATGGATTTGCGACTTTCTTTTAAATAATTTCAATTTTTTCTTTAAAAAATCTATTTAAAAAAGAGTTTGGTTTTCGATTTGGATAAGTTGCTTTATCAAAGTTGTGTTGATCATCTTTAGAATCTTGGAAAATGTTATAAACAATATTAATGAGTTTTATTTTATGTTGCTATCTTTAATAAGCCACACTAATATAAAAAATGTGAGATGTCTATTATACCAACGCCAGATTTCTCATTTAAAGATCTGAATGGAAACATGCGGGTTAATTGCGGATAAAGTGCGGTGCGGTTCTAATAATAACGAAAATATAGTCATACATCGTTACTATTAGAACTGCACCGCATCGTGCGGTTCCGTCTCCATTCAGTATAATATTAGTTTTACACGCATATAAGTTTAGTTGTTTACATATACTATAATTTTCAAATAAAATGATACATAAATTAATCCAATAATATTTTAAATTTATGTTTCTAAGATTAGGGAAAAACTTAATTTATAAATAATATACTCCACGAGTCACGACGAAGATATTGCTCAGCACGACTCCAACGAACAAGCTAGAGTAAAAAACGTTGCAAAGTCCTACGTGTCATCTCCCGCCCAACAATCCAGCAAAGTTAGTTATCGAATGTTGTATGATTTATTCTCAGTAATGCGATAAACCCAACGAAACTATACTCAACCACTAAAAATAAGCCACGTAATCCAAAAGTCGTACCATTAAACAATCACGTGAAGAAACACGGATACATTGAGTGCACCGTTACGTACACAATCAAAACAATTATAAATGAATTAAATTTTAATTAAATTTGATTTTTAATATCTCTGCTCAGTCCCCAAGATAGATCTATCCAAGAGAGACACACATTCACTGTTTTTACTCACTTTTTTAATTTTTTGGATTTTCGTGAAAAGCTGAATTTGTCTCTTTCTCTATTTCTCTCCGGCGTCGATTTCACGGCGGCTACGCGACGGTCATCGATGTCATTGACTGTACCGGAATTCGATTTTAGAGTACGTCTTCTCTCTTTCTCTCTCTCTCTCACTGCTTCACGAATTGTCTCTAAGGTTCATTTGTGTTTGCTTCTTCTGTAGTTGACGCCACAGTTTGGTTTCTCACAGTCACCGATCGGGTGAGTTTTCTCGTCATTTCTATGTTTTTTCATCATCTTCTTCTTCTTCTCCGATTGGATTCGATTTGACTCTGTGTAATCGATCAGGGAGCATAATTTCGCCGATGTTGATAATTTGGAGAACTGTATTAAGTACTTGAATCAGAGCTTAGTCACCTATGGATTCTCTGCTTCGCTCGACCTCTTCGCTACGGATCCTGTGCGTTTTATCAATCTCTAATTGTTTTTTTTTGTTAATCGATTTGTTTGATGAATCTGATTTGATGAACTTGTATTAGGTTTCGATTGCTAGAACTTGCAATTGCGTATACGCTTTGATTCAACAGAGGCAACGAGATGTGGAATTTAGAGAATCTGCTAATGATCAGAGACAACGGTGACTATTTTTGTCTTTTACCTGAATGTTGATTTTTCTGTGTGCATTGTGAATTAATGGATTTTGTTAAAACTAATTTAGTAGCTTCATTACGATAGTGTTCAATTTTAAGCTTGAGATTTGACTCTGTGATCTAGATCATGCTATGTATATAAAGACTTTTGTTACTGTTTTTGGTTTTATGTGTGTTTAGAATATAGTTATAGTAAAATCCTTTTGGGAGCAAAGAAGAAGACAATAATGCTGACATAAAGTTACTCAAGTTGCTACTTTTGTTGCATCTATGAAGTTTTCTGCATGTGATGTCAATGTTTATACCAAGTTTTTGTTTACTTCAGACTTTTATCCGATATGGCGAGACTCGAAGCAAAAGTTGAAAGGCTTGAGACTCAATTGCAAGCTAAGGAAAGGGAACTTGGTTCGGTGACAAGAACGGTAAGAGATATATATATATCCGAAGTTGGGATTAGGACAACATGTATTGATGTTTCATGACATACTTTTTTTTTGGTCAGGAAGCAAAAAATACAGCGGCTTTAAAGACGCAGAACGAGAAGCTACAGAAAGAGAGAGATGAGTTTCAACGAATGGTGATTGCCAACCAGGTTTGGATCATTGCTTGTTACCAGATAGAATTCTCAGTTTTTCGTAATGTGGATAATTTTTCCAAGAATTTGGGAATGCTAATGCAATGCCAATTGAACGTTGTTATTGTTTGGTATGAAAGCAAGTCAAGACCCAACAATTACATGAAACAAAGAAAAAAGAAAAGGAGTACATAAAGTTACAGGTATGGGTTCACACTGCAAGTTCTAAGTGTTTGTAGTATATGTCGAGTCTTACTTAATGAAAAATTAATCTTGTTTTAGGAGAGGTTAAACCAAGTGTTGATGGAGAAAAAGAAGGAAACGAGATCAGGCATGGAGATTATGAATTTACTCCAGGTTCTAATTGGGATTTTAAATATATCGAGTTTCCTAGACTATCCCCTTTGGCTAATGAATAATTTCTTGTAAATATATGTACAGAAAGAAGGGAGACAGCGTGGAACATGGAGTGGGAAGAAAACTGACTCTGATTTCTACAAAAAAATTGTAACGACCATGACAATTTAGCTTCTCAGGCCTTATATTTCATTGAATCAATGTGTTACTGATACATTTGGCGCAATATGATCTTTTCAGGTGGATGCATATGAGGCAAAAAATCAAGAGCTGATGGCAGAGAACAGTGATCTGAGAGCGTTACTGCGATCCACACAGGTTGACCTTTTGTTTATTGTTCCCATCTAAAAACAACTTTTGGGAGAGAATGAATATTTATGATCTTTTTATTGAAGACTATGATACCTATCTTTTGACAGGGAGACATGCGTTCTTTCTTGAATGCTTCCGGTGGATTACCCAATCAATCTTTGGTAGCTAATGGAAGACACGGCGCAGACCCTTCTCAGTCTCCTTTGGGCGGGAAGACGGTACATAAATCTCATTACAAGCTAAATCAATTTTCATTTGAATCCCGTTGCATATCACAACCAAAACACTAGTACATGTCAACAAGAATGAATATCGGTATTGACAGGATGTTTTCGACCTACCTTTTCGTATGGCTCGAGGTCAAATAGAAGATAGTTTACGCTCTAAGATGGTTTCCATCAAGGTAAGAAAAAATCTAACCCAAGTTTACACTTTTTATTCTGTTATAGCTTCTCATGTACTAACCTGTTCCATTTTTTTGTCTGTTTCGATTAATGAAGGAACGTATGGGTCAGTTAGTAGATGCACAAAAAGAAGTATCCATTACTTCAGAAGCGTCAGAGAGGGAACTTGAACTTGAAGCACAACTCGTCGAGGCACGCAGCATAATTCAAGAACAGGTATTTTAAAGCATTTCCTTCTTTGATTTCTCTGTTCCTAATGATCATCTCTAGAAACATTACAAAATCTTCTGATGCAGGAATCTATAATGTCCAAACATTTACCTAAGACAGATCGGAGAAGGAACTCAGCTCCCCCACATTCTGTCAACGGACGTGGCTGACTAATTAGATTGTGAATTTCAGGTTCCAAAGATCAAATCACTTCCTGTAATTTGCTCTTGTTTTAAACAAATAAATATTTTATGAATTTATATATAAAAAAAATTAAATGAATGTGGATTCGTATTTGTAACGTTGTACAGAACACTTGCAGACAGCAAGTTTCAGGCTGTAGATTTTAATTATAGATGAATGAAATATGTTTTATTTCATAATATAGATAGTAGTCAACTATGTTAATACTAGTAGAATAAAGGTTTATGTAAACCATGTAATAATCCAAATGACTCAAAAACAATTGTAATGCTATTTAACAAGAATACAAGATAAAAAAAACATTGAGAAAGCTTGGTTAATTTATAATTATGTTGATGTTAATGTGAATGTAAATAATTTACTCTGAGTTCAAATTAATAGAAAATGTAAATCATATATATGAAAGGAGGCTATCTCTCTCCATCTTTCCGCCACGTCAGCATTTTTGGCTCTTCTGGAGATGACACATCAGCTTTTTATTCGTCCAATCAAAACATTTCATTAATACACATCAGCTTCTAATTATAAGTGTCAAATGGAGAAAACAAAATAGCCCATAACGGATGGGCCATATGTGTTTTAGAATCTATTTGAGTGCAATATTAATGGGTCGAGCCCATTTTAGTGATGGCTTAATGTTTCTAAACCCAACAAATATTCTAATTCCCCACAAGACTTTAACAAAATAAATCTCTCCCACTCTCTGCTCGATCGTTCAATATGAAAGAAGAAGAATCTCAACGCAAATTTCTCAACTTCGTAAATTCCATCCTTCATAGTCTCTCTTTATGTACATCATATTTCTTTAGAACAAACGTTTTCTACCTTCTAACTGCCAAAATGGAGGCCACGGTAGAAGTTACACAAAAACATATTCACACTCTCAGCTTATGGGATTACAAACTTTCACTACTATAAACTCTATAAATACTCAAACAGACATTGTTTATACCGGATTATATGTGTTTCAGACAGCATCAGTAAATGTTTACCAAGGTGCAAGGAACATAAAAACGATACAGAACCACCATCATGTACAACCTACACGGGAATTACAAAATGAAAACATCAGATACAACTCAAGTTGACAATATCTATATACACAACATTGAATAGCTACTCACCTGAATTATCATTGAGGTGGTGGTATTTGGAACAACTGTCAAAACACAAATACTATGTAGCGTCCTTTTCAGTATCGTTTCATACTCCCTTTCAACTTTTCCTATCAATATTCAAAGCAAAAGTAATTCAGATCTAAAAACCAAGAATCAGCTGTATGACATACTCAAGTAACAAAACAAGCCTCCTTCTGAACAACTAAATGCATTTACGATTACCAATCTATCCGGTTTAAGGCTTCCATATGACTTCAAAACAAGCCTTCTAAGCATTTTCGTTCTTCTTCGTTCCTGCTTTAGGTCCGTATACTGCAGCTAGAACTTTTTTATCCCCGGAAAATAAAAACGAGAGAGTTCAATGAATCCCATTCAAAAAGGATAAAAAACTTTGTACCCATAATAGATATTGGGAAAGCTGATAAAGTACCTTCTGACCAACTAGCAAAGCCATGAGGACGATGAAGGATATTACGGGAACAAGGAAGAGGTCTCAGCTGACAAGTAAGTCTTTTTCCCGGGTTATATTTCAAGTCAAAAAATAGATCTAATCTTAAAAATTGTAACTACATAAGATAAATTTAGTTTTATTAACTACATAATAACAAATAAAAAATAAACATAAATTAGCAAAAACAATCAATAATTTTTTCTTCACAATTTTTTAAAAAAACCCACGCGTAGCGTGGGTATTCTTCTAGTCTAACATAAAAGTTGAAGAGTTGTGAAACAATAATAGAATATTTCTTTTGTTGACCAGAAAAAAGAGATTCTAATTTGTTTCTTAATTCATATGAAACTTATCATTGAAAATAATAGAAATATATCATTTCTCCACAAATGGAAATCATACATATCAGAAACTTAAAATTAAACTTACAAGAAATTTTGGCTACTTTGATGACAAAGTTATATACGATACAAATAATACGATGGTTTGAAAAAACAACACAACACAAAAATTGTTTGATACAAGGGCAATAATAATTAGATTTATATATATATATATATATATATATATATATATATATATATATATGATACTAAATTAAAATTGATAGAGGCATATTGTTAGAGTTTTTCATCAGCATATCATTGTTATGAACTTATGAACCTAGCATGCATACTTAGTACGTCCTGATGCATGTCATAAGCTCGCTAGCAACACGAAAGCTACAAGGCATAATGCTTTCTTGAGATAAAGAATTATGTTTTGTTTCATAATATAGATATTTTCTAAATAAATAAATCGAATTCTTTCATGATTTTCAAATAACTTATTCCACCCAAGATCAATTCAGTACCCAAATATATATGGAAGGTGAAAGGAGGTAAGTTCTATAAATACATTTTAAACTCCAACAATGACAAGATCTGAGGAAGATATCATCGACAAATTTATGTAAAAAAACATACTTAATCATGATATACACATTTTTATACTTGGATTATCCACACAAAAGAAAGAGTTTCGCTTGAGCAACAAAATGTGTTCAGAACTCAGAAAATACCACACATGTATTTCTTACCAAATTAAGGGTATAATTTAGTAGTACATATTAAGTTACATTTCAGTTTCTGAATTTTTTAAAAGATCATGAAAGTAATCGTTAAATATAAATACAAAAAAGTGTTGCATAAGAATCAACAATTGCAGTTCTTTTGTTTAAATTTTTGAATTTTTTATCATTCTTAAGAAAGAACTACAAAATTATCAAAAAACAAATCAGAGATAAATTATTTCTCTAACTAATATGATAAATTTATATGAATTGTTTTAATGTAAATTCATATAATACAAATATTTATGGACGATCTCGATAACCACTAAAATAAATTATATTCTAGAGTTTTGAGGATACATCTATTTTTTAATATATATACAGCGAGATCTCAAATACACTTATATAGACAGACGAAAACAAAAAGAAAAAATCTATTCATGGCCCACTCCAACCAAAAGACTAAAAGTCTAAAACTTATTAAGGAAAGAAATCTATATTGTGATATCATACTTAATTTGATTATATTTCAATTAATTAAAAAAGCATTCAACAGTATATGATTAAGAAGTAAAGTTAAAATTAATAAAAAATTTAAGGGTCACATTTTTAAAAATTGTTTTAGACCGCCAATTATTCAGAGGCCGCGCTCGAAAACTAAAATCTCATGTATTCTAGGGTTTTGAGGTGCACCTAAGTTTTCCTATATAAAGAACTTTTACATACATTTTCGAAAACGCCGAAAAATAGGAGAGAGCGAGAGTTCATGGTTTACATCAACTAAAACTCGAATTCTTATTAGGGAGAAATTCTTTGTAATTTTATCGATCTTTATCTTGTTTCCCATACGAATAGATCTTCTGCGGACCACACCATTTTTTCGGCTCAACAATCTCAAGGGGATAATTTTGTTCCACTACAATCCCATAAGGTATTTTCATATCCCTAAATTTAGATTTGTTTCACTACATAGCGTCGAATTCGCATAATACTTTTGAATCTGTAGTAAATTTTCATGTAATAAATTATTTTTAAAGGGTTAGAGACAAAAGCATAAACTTGTTAATGTTCCAGATTTGATTTTCCTGTGAAAAAAAACTATTTTACATAACCATTTCTGTTGTGAATCTTTGATTTTATATATATTCAATTCAACGAGATCTTTATATTAAGATCTTGATGAAAAGATAAGAATAAATCTATACATCATATTTTTATCTCTTCATCTAATATATACTAACAATTTGGTCACTTGGAGTTAGGCCTAAATGCTTTATTCATGGTAGATCTATAAGAAATTCATTGCCAAAAGTTATGTTCACCAATCACCCTTAGAGTTAATCTGTAGTCTTGGCGAGAACCAAACGCTTGAGATTTTTCTCAACTTTAAACATCTACTGTCTAAAGTTTTAATCTATATCCTAAAATCCTAATGATTCTAAACTCTTAGGATATGAATGGTTGACACCGGGAAGAAAAAAGAGGAAAAGGAAAAGGTAAAAAAAAAATTGTTTAATGAAATTTTTTTTCACTAATATTTTAGGGGTGAATACTTTGAAGTAGTCAACTATTAGAAGAAAAAGAAAAATAGGAGTATACCTTATTTTTGTCAACACCACATTTATACCATCATGATTCAAAAAACTTAATGTCCTAAAACCTTTCACCACACACATAGTACAATAATTCTCCATAAGGATTTGATTTCCTTATGATTCCAATTTCCACAAGATCAAAAAAATCCTTGCTTTTCATAATTTCATGTGATATGAGCATTATGTATCTAGAATTCAGTCATATCCGGAGGTGATGTCCGATGCCACTAGAACCTTTGGCTCTATGTAGCTACAATTGCTTCTCCTTGTTATGATCTTTAATATTAAAAAGTTTAGTCAGGTTTCTTTCACCACACTCATATATGGTATATATATTTTTCCTTATAGGCTAATCACTATCCCTTTTAGTTGTGATCTTCCTCTATCCTTAACCACAATTCTCTCTCTCTTATGTTCTACTTGTACCCTGTTACATGCATCTTCAATTTCTTATGCACTAATGTCTTCATCCAAATCAATGTTTCTTTACCATACTTAAATATGTATCATAAGCTTTTCAAATAGGTCCTTAGCGAAAATTTCAACACATAAATTTCATAGCATCACTCAACTCAACTACCATAAAACCAAATCCTTATGTTATACAAATTTTGTAAAACATTAACATTTTCATTTTTAATGAAGATTTACATTCTTAGCAACAACAACCAAAAAAAAACATAAAACAAAGCTCAATCTCTTCTTTAAGTCAAGTAAATTAAAGTTTCAAAAGTCTTTGACCGAAAAAAAATAAAAAAAAAATCACATCCATTTGTCAAATAAACCTTACTATGGTCGAAATCTATATCACATTCAACAAATTTTCATATCCTACATGTCATTAGAAAACACTGTGAAATGTAATTCTTTAAAAAATGTACTTAGTTAGCTAAATTGTTAAGAACAAACTCATATAAAATGATACCAAAAAAAATAGAAATTAATATGCAAAAGTACGAATGACATGCAAATTATCATGTGGCCCTACATTTATAAAAACTCTCTTATTTCGTCTTCTTCTTCTCCAGTCTCTCCGTTCAACAAAAATTGAATCTTTTTGACGACGAACAGAGAGAACCGTTCGATTTTTGTATCCTGTTAGAAGAATCATAATTTGGTATTCTTCTTCTTCTTCTTCATTTTCACGAATGATCACTCTCGTCACAATCTTATACATTTTCTCTGTTTTAGTTCATATATACCCACAAGTTTTCTTTTTCAAAGTCTCAGTTTTTTTCTTTATTCTCATTTTGTTTTCCTTTTTCTCTTTCAATGCAGGTTTTGAAGATTCCGATAGTATCGTGGGTTTGATTAGGTTCTCTACTAGTCTCTTTCATGGCGTCTTCTCATAAAGGTAACGTTTTTATTTTGGATTCTGCATTTCATCGTTTTAAGAAAGTTTGAGACTTTTTTTTACTCGTGAAGATGAACGTAGTGTAACGATTGTTTTCATCTTGATTTTACATCCTCAACTGTTTTTATTTGGAAATTTTCATGATTGTGAGTGCTAATTTTATTGGTTGATGTGTTGAACCATAAAAGAGGAAACTTTCTTTGTTTCTGAGATGTTCTTGGAAGTTATAGTAATGAATGTGTATTCTTCTTTAAGAACTTTTATGAAATCACTTGCTTTGTGGAAACATGTAACTTGTTCTCTTTTGCAATTTTGTGAGCTTTTGTATTGTTGTTTCGATCTCTCAGATTCGTTGATGTCTCAGCAGCATGTAGAATTTGAGTGTTGTTCTACGGTAGTAGTAGAGGTTTCTTTGTGTAACTGTACATGGTACTAAATCAGATTTTCTTGTTGCATAAATTTTGATCTGAAACCATTCTTCTTAATTTGGTAAACAAGCTCATGGAAGCAGTCTTCGACTAAATGTGTTCCTGTCATGAAGAATTATTGTTAATACATTGTTATTTTAGGAGTTGTGATTGCGATTGAAATGTAAATTTACGTCTTTTTTCTTCATGCAGGAGCTGCAGGTGACTCAATGGGAAGCAGTAAAATGAGTTTTGATCAAAAGAGACAGCTTGTCTGGAAGCTGTCGAAAGAATCCGAGAGAGCCTTCAAAGAAGTCTTGAAGGACTGGAGCTGCAACGAGATTCGAGAGCTCTTACGTGCAGAATCAGGGAAATATATAAAATACACCGGTTTGACGAAAGAAGAGATCATCATAAGGCTTTTCAACATTGTATCAAAGAAAAACACTGGAGGTTATGAGGTAGAAGAAGAGAGAAATCCATCACCAAAAAGACAGAGGAAAGATCTTGATCCTTTGCACTATGTGACTCCGTTAGCTAAAGCTAAAGGTAACAAACATGTTTTGCAGTAGAAATTATCCATTTGCAGCATTCTTCTGTTTCTATATGCTAACTTGAACATAGCATTGATCAGGCAAGGGTACAATGTATTGTCAGAACTTGGCTTGCCAGGCTAAACTAAGAGAGGAAGCCACTTTTTGCCAAAGGTGTTCTTGTTGTATCTGCTATAAGTATGATAACAATAAAGATCCTAGTCTCTGGTTAACCTGCAATTCCGATCCTCCATTGGACGGTGAATCTTGTGGCTTATCTTGCCACCTGGTTTGCGCTTTCGACAATGAGAATTCGGGTCTGAATACGCCGAGTAGTAATATTGATGGATGCTTCAGCTGTGTTTTCTGTGGCAAGGAAAACAGCAAGATAGAGTAAATTCAATCAAACTATCTTTTTCCATTATAATACAATCATTGATGGTTATTAAGTTTCTAACTTTTTTTCTTCTTCTCAGATGTTTGAAGAAGCAACTGATCATTGCAAATGAAGAAAGAAGAGTAGGCGTGTTTTGTTTCCGCATTCTCATGGCTCATAAGCTTCTCAAGGGAACAAACAAGTACACACTAGTATCTGAAGAGGTGGAAGAAGCTGTGAAGCATCTAGAAACTGAATTCGGTGTTCCTCTAAGTAGTCTTCCGTTAGAGATGAGTAGAGGGCTCGTTAACAGACTTTGCTGCGCGAAAACAGTCAAGGGACATTGCTCTTCTGCTCTGAAAGAGCTTGAATGTCTTCCACTGCCTTCTACTATCCAAGGTAAGATCAGTAAACACTTATGATCACAAAACACTATACTTGTGGTTTCTTCTTCCAGTGCTTGATTCAATATGAACCACAGGATCATTGAAGATCAAAATTGAGTCTGTTCTAGCAACTTCTGTAACTTTCATTATGGATGTCGAAGAATCTTTCTCATGGGGAGATACCAATCATTACCGGATGTTCCATCGAAAGGCCACAGAGAGATATTACTCGGAGCATTTGACTCGTGAGTTGTTCAGTACAACAAGTTACCCAAGCTTTAATGTCTTGGAACTAACTCCAGCTACAGAGTATTGCTTCAAGATTGTATCCTTTAGCGGCATCGAAGAAGTGAGCGTAGATGAATTCAGAGTCTCTACACAAACCCTCCAAGAAGAAGAAAAAGAAGTGGCAGCAGTTTTAATGAATATGCCAAACTGCGACAATCTTTCACTTCCACCACCGCCTTCCTTAGAAACAGATAGACAGGAGAATGGGAACAAAATGGAGAGATTAGGGTTTGAGCAATGTGTGAAGCTCATTAGGCAGCTAGAGTGCTCAGGTAAGGTCAAGAGTGATTTCAGAAAGAAGTTTCTGACTTGGTATGGCTTAAGAGCGACGGCTAAGGAGAAACATATCGTGGAGATCTTTGTTAATACTTTCAAAGACGATACAGTAGCTCTGGCTGAGAAGCTCATTAATATATTCTCTGATTGCATATCAAGAAAGCGTCCTGCGATTGGTGGTGGCAGTAGCGGTGGTGGTGACGATGAGTCTGCTGGATTGTGTTTGATGCTGCTGAGCATTGATCATTAGAGGAGATCGGATGATAAGCATTGATTCAAGTTTTAAGTCTTTTATTTTACTCTCTTTTGGACCTTTTAGGAAGGAGTCAACTTGTTTTTTCTTCTTCAGTTGGGATTTTTAGCATTATTGAAACCTCAGAGTTTGATGATTTGTTTGTATTTTGGATTTTGATGAGTTAGTAACTTTTCTTGAAGCACAAGTTTGTGGGTTTTGTTTAGTACTTAAGATAGATTTGAAACCGAACACAAACCGAAAAACCTATCTTTCTCTCTTTGGTTTAAAGCATATTATACCATCTAATTAAAATCGAAAGGTTTGGGTTAAAAAAGATTTGATTCCAAGAAAAATGAAACGGTGTCGGCTCGAGTTAATTAGTGATGAACCTGGATCTTGTTGTTGGAGTGGGCTTTCGGTCAATCAAGCCCAATTAGACCCAATCAACTAGAGTCTGTTATAAAAAATAGACGTTTGTTCTGCTGATTTAAAAAAAGTTGGAGAGTTCTTCTTTGGAGCTTCTTCTACTTATTCTCCAAGTCTTTGATGAGAAAGAGAATAAGTGACGCTTAACACCATTGTAACAAGCATTTTGTAAGAAAGCTATTTCTACATGGGCATCTACCCAAATTGAAACCCAAACCCAAATTCATTCCTAAGCCCATTCCCGGCCCAGCCCACGAGTGGTGTGGTTTTGCATGGGTGGTACTCTTTCTCTTACACTTGTTATGAGTTATATCTACTATTGTATACATTACTGAGATTTTTATTCCTCATCTTCAAGTGCCGGACAAATGGTATTTTGTCAATTTTTATGTTTTTTCAAGCAATCCATTTTACTTTTTATTTAAACGAATTTCAGTTTTGACATATGAATACACTACATTATAATATTCATAGCGATTTTATACCGAGGAATCCATGTCTCTCATAATTGAGTCATTCCATCAAAAGAATTTGGCGATAAGTTGTATGCAAATGAATGCACTTGTCACTGAAATAACAAATTACAATACTCTCATTTGCCAATAGAGAATGGAGGAGCAATAGCCCCAAGATTTTTTTTATAGATTGACATGGTATTAATTATACTAAATCAATAAAATGATTAAAAAAACTAGAGTTAACCTTTTAATTAGTCTATGTGCAAAACATTCAAAAAATCATTCTTTTAGGAACAAAACGTTTATGACGATTAGATTTTGACGACCAAATGAAACCTAACTTAGTTAAATTTGGCTCAAACCAAAACCTCATTAAAAGGGCACTGTTTTTGTAGTGTCGCTTCTTCACCATCTCGTGAAGAATGCAAAGGCCAACTTTATTGCATGCATGCGTACTTCGGTAATTGTAAAATACTAAAAATCTCTTTTTTTTTTTCACTAAGCCAAAAGTAGCCAAACTCTTTACTATTCGACTCTTGGGACCATTTCCACGTCCAATTATTTAGGAATCTTTATTGCTAAAACTCGAACCTCTATAAAATTTATTTGTTCGCATTAGTCAATTATTTCTCCCCATAAAGTAAATCAAACTTCTCGAGTATATAAATTTAACTGACATTACTCGTTTCAGCTTTTTACAAAATGAAATTTTTTGTTGTGCAAATAGTTTAATGTATTTATTAGAAAACTCCATCTTAGAATGATTTAATATTAGAATTCTTTTATGATTTACTTGTTACTCTCCTATCAAATCGGTTGAATTATATTTCTATAAACAAATCTACATATAAAAAATCTATTTATTCCTATTCATCTTTGTTACGTTTAGAGATAGAGAAAAACTAAATTGTGTGGTCTAGGACATTTATAAAAAGTCCTTCAAAAATTTTACAAAATGAACTAATTAATGATTTAGAAAACCGAAGAGAGTATATGTACAGTATTCAAATGATTTTAGGGACCCACGTCTAGAACAAAAGAGCTAATAAGCCAAACGTTCTAGTCAAGTCTGAAATAATGGATCCTGATTGGTAATGACTAATGAATAATGATGTGTTACCAAATGGATCTTACTAATTTTTCATTTACATGTTGTTCAAACTATAATGGAAGATATTGAACATTGACTATATATATTATTTTGATATAGCACCATTTTATATGAAAGTTTTTATCAAAGTTGTGTGGTCAATTCATCTTTGGATTGTAATGGTAAGCAACTAAGATATAACTATATATTTGACTATGTCTAAATAAGGTTTTTCAAAAATCACGGGTTAATGTTGATATATGACATCAAACAAATATAATTCATCTATATATAATAAAAAAGAAAACCAATAAGAAATAACAAAACACAGCTTAGCTGACAATAAAATGTAAGGTTGTTGTCGCTGTCTAATATAAAGAATCGAGGTCTCTCAATGGAGAATGGTTGGGTTCTCGTGAATAAAAAGTAAAATGTCGACGTCTTGATAGCTTTGGTTATATGTACTCTTCAGTCTTCACTCTGATATTTTTTATAATATGGTCATCAACCGACGGTCTAATATTTCTTCCTTAAATATATGTATATAAATTTGTGAGAAAAAGAGTTTTTGTCATAGAAGTTTTGCTGAAAAAATCATATATCAATCTACTTCAATCAAGCTTCCTTTGTAATAAAACAAATTAAAAAAAAAAAACAATTCAATTGCATGTGTGATGGAAAATGTGATGTTGAATCTAAGGCAAATTGTGTAACTTCGCTACATCTCCAATTTCGATTTCTTTTATATAACTCTCCGCGATGATTATTTGGTTTTACTTGAGTTTCGGTTCGGATGTTTTATAGTATATGGTAAATTTGCGGAAAATTCTTTACCAAAATAGTTCATATATACTCCCGAAATTAGTCAAGTGTTTTACTGAAATTTGGATAGTCGATGTTAGATTTTAAGAAATTTTTTTTAATGATATTTTGTATCATATCATAATTCTCAAATCAATATACTAACTTTTGTACCTCTCGATAAATAACTAAGGTTCGTCAAGTAAACTTAAATACTACAAACAAACTCGATCACTAATAATGTACTTCTTTCAATTTGTATAATAAAATATCAATTTGGTTAACAACGTCGCTTTAAAACAAAACATTATCTCAGTAGACGTTAAGTAAACTGTTCCATTCACAGAGATCAATCCTGTCCAAGTAAGTGCCATGCGTCGTCTTCTACATCTCTTCAAATTGATGTGAGGCCGTAATATTAATTATTTAATGATTAATATACATGTATCGTCCAACTAATATAATAGTATCTATACAAGCCAATAAACTTTAGACACTTGAATAATGAAGTAGAGAAGACAATCAGAAGAAGATGAAACATTCTGTTGAACTGAACATGTTTTGCTTCTTCACTTGTTCTGGTAGTTAGATCAACATGCATGCGTATATTAATATATTACAAATTAAAAGTTAAGTTGTTGCCAAATGTTTAAATTGCAGTATTTATATAGCTCAATTTTCTTTCTTATTATCGTGAAAAATTAAAAGCTATCTATTGAAAAGAAATGATTAAGAAATATTTTGATCTTATGCTTTTATGGTATTCCAACTTTGAAGAAAACGATTTATAATCTTCAAATGAACTCAAGAGGGTTGACCTTAATTATGTTCATCTTAATTAATCTACCTATGCTTAAGTCTAAGCTAGTCCTTTTTTATATGAACATTTGTGTAATCATAATTATAGTTAAAAGATTCTCCATTGCAATTTAAGCAACTCCGCTTTAAATGAAAGGAGAACCATAACTTAATAACTTGAGCATATAGTCCCATGGGCAAAAAAAAAAAACTTTTTTATATACGTTTACATGTTAAATTATTATGTTTACATATGAATTTATTTTCTTACAACCATCACTTTAATTTATGCAAAAAATCGATTTATATTTTTCTTTTGTTTGCGTTTTTTCGTTTGCATTTACAATTTAGACAAAAATATTTGTAAATATATATATATATATATATATATATATCTTTAAATGTACGTATGTAATCAAATAAAAGTCCCTAAAAATCGCAAAAAAATAACGGTGGTCGATGAATATGCAATTTCACAAATTTATACATACACATTATTACATACTTCATACTTGCATAGTGATTCTCTAGGATTGGCGCAAATAAAACTGACGAGAGTTAGGCCGAAGAGAATGCAAATTTGGACAACCTAACAATAGTTTCACTTAAATAAGCAAAATATGTTAGGCTTGACTTTTAGAACTTTAAAGAGAGTTTTAGAAGAATCCATTTTATCTCTGTCAAAGTGGCATTGTTTTTTTACTTCATTAACTACTCGACAATATTCTGACCACAATTATTTGACGAATCTAAATACACCAATAAGACTCACCTATATATCTAAACGCCATTAACTCAATTGATTTAACAATTCGTATGTTTCTATTGCAGGCTTTGTAGCCAATTTCAAATACGATGTTACGTTTCAAAAATCAATTTGGCATGGTAGTATATAACTCATTTTGTCCCTATCCAAAACATATATAATGGCTGGAGAAAATACACATTATATCCATTTTTCTTTATGCATTTCGCTATATTATCCATCTTCGAAAAATTTGAACATTCGTAAGTTTACAGAGTGGATACGAGATAACAAAATGATATTCGCCTACAACCAAAGTGGATACGAGATACAAGATAAAAAAATTATCGATTCAAATCAAATGGAGCGGATCACATATATGAAAATGTAATATCCGCTCTGCGTATTACCGTAAAATATATATTCTTTAACCTATTATTCCTTAACTCCCAAATTCACAACAACAAAAAAGTATGGAAAAAAAGAGAAAAATAAAAAGTTAAAATTGAGAACATGGATATCCTCCAGCGAAGCTACCTGCCTTGTGAGATAAAAAAAGCATAAAAAAACAATTAAAGTCTCACCCACACAACACAAAGTTCCTTCATACTTTTGTGTAACAAACAACACACTTCATAACTCCAATCGCCAAACGCCAAACGTGAAAATCCCATAAACGCGAAACTCTGTTTTTTTTTTTCGTTACCTAATTCTCTGTGGTCGACCTCACCGTAAACCTTCACCAACCCAAATTAAATTCTTCTGTGTTTTTATTCACAAAGTACAAAAAAACAGACAGATAATAATATCTCTCCCTTCTCTGCCTGTCTCTTCTCCTTCCTTCTTCTCTCTGTGATTTGCATAAAACCTCGAGTCTCTTCTTCTGTTCCATTCAAAAGCATGAAGTACATTCGTAGCAACAGCCTGAAACGTCTCTTCTCCTTTAAACGACGCAGTTTTGACTCCGACTCCTCCGAGAACTCAACTCCTCACACGGCTTCTTCCA